CAGTCTTGGCAGTAAGCACCTTTACCCACTGAGCCATCTCATTAGCAGTTAACTCACTCTTCAATTAACACCGAGGATTTCCCCAGCTTCCTCCCACCACTATCACTGACTGTGTCTTTAACAAGAGCCAGTCAAGCTTGTGACTAGCTGTGGCTTTTTCCCAGCAGGTTGAGCCTAAGCTGAGCTCTTAACTGTTTACAAACCCTGACACAGAGATCCCGCATAGCCCTGAACCAGAATTCCTTAGCTTCTCATATAAGCTCCATCCCTAAACACCTCCCTAGGACCATCCAGGTGTCTCCTCCCTTTTCTCTTGGGTCCCTCTGGAGGATGAGTTGGGCACTCTAAGTTCCCCTAAAACCTGCTTTACACACACCTGCCACTTGGTGATTCCTTCCTTGGAATCCCAACCCACCGCATCTCAGGAGCCTGTGGGGACACTCCTGTGTGTACAACTTAGATGGGACCATCAAATCAAACGTTGACTTGATTAACATGCACCTATTGTGCTAGGAAACACACAAACAGCTTAGCATTCTACTTACTGTACAAAGAAGAAAATAAAGTTCTTCAGTGATTTCCAGAGGCTGACCCACCACCAGGTGCTGGGGTTGGGACCTCAGCCATTCTGCTGGCCCCAGCCAGAGGCTCTCACTCCGCCCTACAGCACCGCCTGCTGTCTGTATGCCTGCCATGTTGCGAGCTAAGTCCAAAGGCCTCAGCTGTGAAGTTCCAGGTTCACCAGACACCCAAGTCTCCTAGCTATGCCCCTGTGGCAGGTGGAGCCCCACTTGCCATCTCCAGGCTCCACCCTGCTCCTGAGGTGTGCGCTGCCCCTTGGCCCTCCTCCTGTGTTCCACTGCGGCTAGCCAGACCAGATGGCTCATCTGATGATCAGAGTCTCTTCCCAGAATAACAGAGCTGCAGGAACAACTGGATCAAAGTAGAAAACTATTGGTTAGCAAAGTTCGGAATTGCATCCCCAAACCAGACAAGAGTGCATGGCCAGTCACCCAAAAGAAACACCAAGATGTTGATGCTGGAGAGATGGCTCAGCGGTTAAGAGCAGTGACTGCTCTTGCAGAAGACCCAGGTTCAATTCCCAGGACCCACATGGTGGCTACAAACCGTCCTTAACTCCAGTTCCAGGGGAGTCTGAAGCCCTCTTCTGACCTCCGCAGCATTGCATGACATGGGTGCACTCATAGACATGCAGGCAATACACTCATACATATAAAAATAAAAAAAAAATTTAAATGTTAAAAAAACAAAACACCAAGATGTTATGCACAGACTTGAATGTGACCAAGAATGGGGAGGACACAGGTTAGCCACACCCGAGACAGCCCTTGGCTTCTACAAAGGAGAAATTTTTTTAAAAATCCATTTCTACCAGGATTTATTTGGTCCACTGCTGTACATTTCCTTGAGCACTGTGGGGGTTTGGTATGGAGTTCAAAGTATCTTCCTTTCTGAATTAAAAACAAAATGCCCAAGGGTTAGAGAGATGGCTCAGAGGTTAGGAACACTTGTTGCTATTGCAGAGGGCCAGGGCTGGGTTCCCAGCACAAACATCAGGTAGCTCAGACATGCCTGATGGGTCCAGTCCAGGGATCCATTGCCCTCTTCTGGCTGCTACAGGCACAAGTGGTATTCATACAGATACTTTTTATTTTTGTCATTCATTCATTCATTCATTCATTCATGTTCAAGGAGCCCTGGAAGGCTTTCTCTTATCACACACAGCTGTCAGAGAAGGGCCAGCTGTACACATAGTTTTAGGGTCTTCCAGAGGTTTCTACTTCCTCTCCAGTTTGCTAGAGCAACTGAAAAGCTAGCTAAGCCAATCGTCCCAGCTCACCACGTAACACGAAAATGAGCAGGATTCTCTCGTTGTGCATCCTGAAGAATCCAAGGGGCTAGGGAGATGGTTCAGTGGGCAAAGTGCTTCCTGGCAAATGAGAAAGCCTGAGTTCAGATCCCCAGCTACCACATGAAGAACTGAGCATGACAGCAGCACACGCCTATCCCGTGAGCCACGGAGGTGGAGTCGGGTGGATCATGGGCTGTGGGGGAAGCATGGCTAACTGGCCATCCAGTCTAGTCAAAATTGAAAGCTCCAGGTTCATTAAGAGACTCTGGCTCTTGAGGCTGGAGAGATGGCTCAGCTTTTTTTTTTTTTTTTTTTTTGTTTTTTTGAGACAGGGTCTCCCTGTAGCCCCAGCTGACCTTGAACTCCCAGAGATCCTCCTCCCTCTGCCTCCTGAGTGCTGGGATTAAAGGCGTGCACCACCATGCCTGGCCTGGCTAACAACCAGTCTTATCTCCACTTCCAGGGGAATCCAATGCCCTCTTCTGACCTCCATGGGCACCGCATGACACAGGTGCACTTACATACATGCAAGCAATAAATACTCATACATGTAATATAACTTTTTTTTAAAAAAGGACTTGGGGCTGGAGAGATGGCTCAGTGGTTAAGAGCACTGACTGCTCTTGCAAAGGACCTGAGTTCGATTCCCAGCACCCACATAGCAGCTACGAACCGTCCTTAACTCCAGTTCCAAGGGAGTCCAAAGCTCTCTTCTGACCTCTGAGGCATTGCCCGACATGGGTGCACTCACATACGTGCAGGCAATATACTTATACACATAAAATAAAAATTAAAACGAATTTTTTTTGTCTTCTTGAGACAGGATCTCCTTGTAGCCCCAGCTTTCCTGGAACTATGTAGACCAGGCTGGGCTTGAACTCACAAAGATCTGCCTGCCCCTGCCTCCTAAGTGCTGGAATTAAAGGTGTGCCCCACCACACCCAGCACAAAATGAAATATTTTTTAAAAAGGGACTCTGGCTCAAAAACTAACATGGACCTCCATCATCAAGCTCTGGCCTGCATATGAGCGTGCACAGGTGAGCAGACTCAAAGATTATTTATTAAAGAGAACTTTACAGCCCTCTCACTCCCATGAACCACAGATACTAGTCTACCATGTCATAGCTATTATGTCTTAGGTCACAGGAACAGCCTCGGCAGGCTGAGATACTGGGGACACAACCACCTGTTCTCAATCACACAGCAAGCTGAATTAGCCTCTGGAAAGCTTCTGGCTGTCAAGATCCATAAACCCACTAGTGTGCTCTGGGTGGTCAGCACCTCAGGAGCATCAGCAGACACCTCTCCCGCTGGTGTGGATGTGTTCTCATCCCTGGTCCCTGAAGTCCAAGGACATTGTGCACAGGTGGGGCCCGTGGGTGGATGCAGTACAGGCTAGGGAGGAAATCCTTACATGCTGTCTAGAGGCAAAGGAAACCCTGGATCCTGTCTGAGCATATTCCCACATCAGGGGTCCCAGGCAGGCAGACAGGTCACTGTTGAAGTGGGTGACAGAGGTGACATCCTCCCTCATAGAATCTCATGGTTACTGTAAGAATTCTGCAGCAGCTTTGAAGAACTCCACGATCTTGGGGCCATTAAGAGCTTGTAATACTCTTGCATGAGTGCTGGGCTCACAGCCCCTATAACTCCGGCTCAAGGGGATCCTCTGGCCTCTGTGGCCACCTGCACTCATGCGTGCATGAACACACACACACTCACAGACACACACCCCTTTCTAATCTAAAAAATGAGCTTTATGTTCTCCTGCTTCAGGCTTGGCCAGTTCAACAGCACGCCTGTGATCTGGCCCCAGGCCTTGTCTCTCCCCCAGATCCTGAGTGTACACAGCCAGAGCCTTTCCCTAGAATGCTAGCACCCCGAGAGCCCCAAGTAAGGTCTATAATGTTGAACCCCAGTTGGGGCGTCTTCCTTTTGCATGTGTGTAGCCTGCACTTACCCTAGGGTGCTGTTTCTCAGGCACAACGTACTTTATTTTTTGATTGTTTTGAGACAGGGTCTCCCTGCAGCCACAGCTGGCCTGGAACTCACTATGTAGACATGTAGACCGGACAGGCCTTGAACTCACAAGGCACGTGCCACCACACCTGGCCCTTTTTTCTTTTAATGTGGGTTTGGGGGCTCAAAGTTAGCTTCTAGTAACTGCATGGCAAGCACCTACCTGACCTGCCATGAGCGTCTCCAGCCCTGTCTTTCCTATGTTGTAGTTGTTTTCAAAGAGTATCTGTGTAGCCCGGGTTGGTCTTACAGATGCATACCGCCACGCTGGTCTTGGAGCATGCTTCCCTCCTGGTAACCGCAGTACGGCCCTTCACGTGCAGAAGCTCCTCCACCGACACTGGGAATCCGTAAGCCCATCACAAGGTGAAAATACATAAATAGAGAGTGTGTCTAACACACCTAACTGATACATCACCCTGGTTTAGCAACACAGCTCTGTACTGCACACAGCTGTCATCCACCTAAGGACCTCATTGCTGGGGGAGACCTGTAACTCCTCAGCATCAAAAAAGTCCTACGACATGTCACTAGGCCAGAAGAAAACTGAATTCAATTTGTGGTAGCATTTCTTTGAGAAACAGTGTCACGATGCAACTGGTCTGGAACTTGTGGTGATCATCTTGCCTCAGCCTCGCCACTTCAGGAGTGAGCCAGCACATCCAACTTCACAGCAGGATTCTACACTACATAAAACACATGCTTTTACACCATGACATTCCCCAGCCCCAGCACCACCTCTATGACCTCTCAAGTGCTAGGCAAGCACTGAGCCACCCCCAAGCCTGCGTTTACTCTATGTAAAAGTCCAAGTTTACCATCCTAAGCCAGGAGCCATATGTACACATCCATACACACTAACATGCACAGACACGGACAGACAGACAGACATACACACACACACACACACACACACACGCACGCACGCACACAAGCATGCACAATGCTCCCTGGTACATACCCTCTCTCAGCATGTTTACACAGACCCTGCAATCATGCCTATGCACTCAAGTACACCCAGGTACAGAACAGCTATGTGCACACCTGCTCTGTGACACCTTCCGAGCTTAGGTACCAAGTGTCCGGATCACTGACTACAGGAGGCACACTGAGAACACCAAAGAAGTCTTTACTCAATATTGCAGACACTACCCCACAATGCACCCCGTAAAAGGCACTGGGTCTGCACGTCAGTCCTGTGGGCCTAGAGGAAAGGCTCCCACTGGGTCATGGACCTGTAGGAAGCTGGAGGAGGAAAATTCCTAAACACTGAGTTAGAGGAAGGAAGTTTCCTGAAGGTCCCCAGGAGGAAGTCAGGGATGGAGGTCCTGGAGAAGAGCAGCTCTGTGGGAAGCACAGCCTTGGGGCTGGTTTTAAGTCCCCACTGTCATACTCTGCACCATCTGGGAGTTGAAAAAGGTTCTGTAAGGCCTCCCAGGAATAGCCCGTGGCCAGACCTGGAGCTCACCTCCCAATGGCCAGCTCACCTGGCCCTGCTTTCTGTAGCTGAGAAGGGGTAGACACAGCCCTGGAGGCTGGGAGCCAGGTACCTCCTGGACAAGAGGCTACGCTTCAGCAACACTGCCTTTCCCTTTGTTCCTGGATGGTCTCTGCACATGGCCTGGCCCTCCTCATTCTCTAGAAGCACCTGCTGTCCAGTCAGGAGAAGGACCATGGGAGGCCTGCAGGCAGACTGGGCTTCTGCACCCTCGAATCCAAGGCGTGAGGGAGCTGGGCAGAGAAGCTACCAGGGATCACTGGTCACCGAAAAGCTAGTTTCCCCCTCTTCTTCACAGGACACCAGTCAGTATCTGGGTAGAGAAGGCAGTGCACAGACTGAAACCTGACAAGGGAAGAAGTGGGGTCAGAACTGCAGGGCGGGCCGGCTGTACCACAGACCCCCCAGGGCCAAGGCCCCCAGTGCCCACTCACTGTGTTGGGTCCTGCTACCCAGCTGCACCAGAGACCCCCAAGGCCAAGGCCCCCAGTGCCCACTCACCATGTTGGCTCCTGCTGCCTGGCTGTACCATAGACCCCTAGGGCCAAGGACCCCAGTACCCACTCACCGTGTTGGGTCCTGCTGTATGCTGAAACTTCCAGCCACATTCACCACATTCTGTGGATTCTCAGGACCCCCATAGCTCAGGGTGACCTGTGAAGACAGAAAAGAAAGTGAGAGTCACTGCTTCCTCCTGGGTCTTCCACCTGCTGGAGGACACCTCACCATTCAGGGCTAGGGAAGAAGGATGCGACCCTTGGTAAAGTAGCCCCATGAGACTGGATGCATCTGCTCAGAGAGTTCATCAGGCAAAGCCTCTGCCCAGAGTCAGGCAGAGAAGCAAGGAAATCCCAGGAGGAGCCCTCTATCCTAAGCCCTGCCCAGCTGGGAGACCCCCTGAGACATGGCTGCTGCGGGAGTGCGGGTAGGGCAGAGCCTAAGCCAGGGCTCGGCCTACCTGCTGCAGCACAGCATCAGGGCGCAGCCTCCGCAGGTTCTCCAGGTGAGAGTGGAAGAGGGGGCTGTGTAGTAGGCGGGCGCCCAGCAGCCCTTCCACGATGTAGCCTACTGTGCAGTCGTCAGGCAGCCGCACCCGCTCTGCTGTACTCATGAAGCTGCCTAGGCTGGGGGTAGGCCAGTCACCACCTGCATAGCCTTACCACCCCAGTCCTGGGAGCTGGGCTCCAGTCTCCCACTCACCTGGCCCATGGGCTCATTTTGAGGGCAAGGCCCCTGCTCAGGCAGAACCCAGCTCCACCCGTTGCAAACCAGAACTTGACGGTGGTTACCTGGAGAAAGGGAAAGCCTCTGTCAGGGCTGCTCAGGATAGGTCTCCTCACCCTCAACCCTCCATCTGACTCCCCAGGTGTCTTCTATGTCATACTGATGAGGGAGTCGGCAGAGAGCACAAGGCACTTCCACACCAGTCACTTTGGCCTCTGGGCCCCTCCCTATCCCTGTGCCTAACATGCCAGCAGCATAAAAGGTGGGGACCAGGCCCCCTGACACAGGCCCTTCTTAGCCCACCCCAGTCCTGCTGCTCTCCCCAGCTCAGCCTCAGGACATCTGCCCAGCACTCACAGTGCCACCTCCCTGGACTCTCTCTGTGGCCTCGATGGGATGGTCCAGACTGGGTCGCCCCAGGTAGACGTCCTGGTTGGAAGGGAAGGTGGAAAGCAGGTGCAGCAGGCTTCCTGGGTTTAGGTAGTTGTCATCATCCACGTGGCAGAACCACCTGGGGGCGGAGGGAGGGGCCTGTGCGCTGGGGGCCCCAGCTGGGAGCCTTCACCCTGCTCAGCCCTGGGCCTGATGGACCCCGCTACTTACTTTCGTCCAGACTCGATAAACTTGTCGTACTCCACCGACATCTTGCAGCACAGCGCTTGGCGGGTGCGCACAGCAGAGCAGTTGGTGTTGATCATGCGGCCGCCTGCACATTGGAAAATGAGAAGTGAGGATTGACACCCAGCTTGCCACCTTAGGTTTAGGTGGAATGTGACTGTGCAGCCACTGGTCCAGGGCCAACTACAGCCTCAGCTTGGCCCTCATTTAGACATCCCTAGGTGATCAAAGCAGGTGACAGTCACTTAGAACAGCACCAGTGGAAAAGGACCAGACCTGACAGGGGTGGCTGGCCCTGGGGCTTCCTCAACGTGGCACTGGCCAGAGGCCCTGGCACCTTACCAGGAACCGAGGAAACTGGCTGGAAGGATGGGCCCTGGACGTTGGTCGCTGGATTGGGAATGGGAGAGTGTCTGGGCTCGGCTCTGCACTAGCTGTGCGACCCAGGGGAACTGCCTTACCTCGCCTGTGCCTGACAGGAACCGAGCCTAACGAAGGTCCGGGCAGCACCGAGGGGAGTGCAACTCTGGTCAGGACTTCTCTTCCCTCCCACCCTTCTCACCTGCCTGCCGCTGGAGTTCAGGGTCGTCTCCATCCGTGAAGATGAACGTCTGTGGGTGAAACCACAGTGAGACGGCGGAGGGTCGGGGCCGCGGGGCGCAGGTCCTGGCGCAGGTGAGGGGCCCACCCCGCCAGCCCGGGGGACCGAGCCCGGATCTCGGAGCCTGTGCGGCCAAGGGCCGGGCCTCGCACCTGCCGTGGGGCGCGCGAGATCCAGGTGCGCAGCAGCAGCCGCAGGCGCGGGCCGTGGTTCTTCCGGGTGGTCTTGACTGCGATGAAGACGTCATCCGGCCGCAGGCGGGCCGCGGCGGGGGTCGGGGCCGGGCCGGGGGCGCGGGGCAGGGGCAGCGGCAGCAGCAGCAGCGCAGCTAGAGCCGCGGCCAGCGCGAGGCAGGCCCGGCACAGCGCGCCACGCAAGCGGCTCATGCGGCC